TCTGCCAAATGCATGAATGTAAATATTCTGGAAAAGTAATTTAAAAGTATTAAAATAAAATATTATTCATATATTTAATAGTGCTGTAAAACGATTAATCGCGTCATTAAATTTAGATCTGCTCATGTTGCATCATATTTCCTTTTACAGTGTTGCGATTTATAACCAATCACTCACAATTCTGTTGAGCCTATGAATGCAATAACCAATCAGAGGCATTCAGATTACTTATCGCTGGAATGCCGGAGTTTTGTTCATTGCGCTCGCCGACTGAATTCTGATCTCTCATGAATTCTTGAACTTGAAAATTTAAATTTGGAAACATTTTTCAAAACCATATGAAACCAAGAATCCAAATAGAACATTTATGAACATATTGGTCTTATCTAACAGCCTTCTTGGTCATTCATTTAACCTTTGTCTTCAGATGACTTTTGACAGATCCTAAAATTGTATGTTGCATGATGTTGTGAGCTGTGAATATGGTTGAAATGTTGTGGTATTTGTGCATTTTAACCCTTTATTTACTCACTTGAGCGATGGGATTTATAAAAGTCTACATGAGGTCACCATCACCCTGCTTAATGATTAAAGGGAGGAGGCCTATAAAAAAAGTTCAAAACTTTGGGCCTCTTACTCTGAGGGCTATGAGGACCATAGCAGTCTTAGTCTAAAGAAGCAACCATGAAACTGCTTGTACTGTTGCTCCTTCTGGCATCATCTCATTCCTTCCCAACAGAACCCACCTTTCCTGAACATTGCACAGAGAGCCGCTTACGCTTTGCAAGTATGGATGAAGTTCGGCTTTTGGTAAACGGCCTCCTACAGCTGGACCATAGCCTGAGGGACTTTGTGCAGAATACCAAGAATCAAATTAATGATATTTTCCAAAAGCTCAATATCTTTGACAAGTTATTCTACCAACTTTCTGTGCTGGCCAGTGAGATCAAGGAGGAGCAGGAAGAACTGAAGAAGACCACTGTGATCTTAATGAGGAAATAAATAGCCTGTCACTGGAGATCAACTCCAAAGTGGAAGATATCATAAAAGAGAGGATCCATCTGAGGAGGCAGGTGGGCGGCTTGAAGGAGAAGTTGAGCGGTCTGTCCCAGAGTTTGCTCTCGGCTGAGCAAAAAGCTTGCTGAAATCTCCATGCTCAAGGTAAGAACAGATCAGTAACATCTTGAATGTCTTTGATAGAGACAGAGCAAGATGATTTATATGTTAGGGAATTTAGTCACATTCTAGGGTTGACGATTTAAGAACTGACGGATACATTTTTAAATTAATTACAGTGAATTTGAATCAGCCACATGTTGGCAACATGTTGAATTTGAATTTGAAAGACAGGACAGAGTTCAACAATTCAAAAACTTAAACAATAACACGAAAGAGGTATTTCTTTGGTCCAAGTTTTGGAAAAAACATTCATATTCGCAACGTTATATAAAAAAAAACGCTTATTTACATATTGAGTGTGTATATTTTTTTCACAACTAATTTTATTTTTCCTTTTTATTTTCAACTACATTGCTTTCAGATAACTTTTTTTTTCTACACACAACAATTTTAATCACAGTGGTTCACTTGAACCCACAAATTAGAGCATTATAGGAAATGTGTTCTCTTCCCATGGTCCAAATAATAATTTATGTAGTGGAATGTATATTATACATGTTAATATTTTTGTATGTGGCATTTACAGTAGATTTATGCATTTTGATTACATTTGTAAATGAAAAAGGTACTGGTAATTTTTCTGCCAGTAGCATTTTCCATTAAGTTATGATGTGTTTACATCAGAATGAGGATTCAATTCCTAAATTTGTATTGAGGAATTGAATCCTCATTTCAGTTAAGAATGGCATATAACCCTATCAGGTTCACAATTGTGTTTGAAAAACATATGGGATGTGATCTATATAAGTGTCTATGCCATGCTCAGGTTGATACGATGCTGAGATGTTGTTGTTGTTGTCTATTAGGAGATAATCCTGACCCAAGAAAGAGCATCACTGATCTGCTGAAGGCTTTGCGTGAACAAAGCTAGCAACTCAACAACCAAAGGACCAAGATCAAAGGCCTGGAAAACAAAGTACAGTATTAAGATACCTTTTAAGATCCCAAACTAAAAATACAAAGAACTCTAGAACTCTAGGTCTAACTCAGTCTGATATAATCACATCATTATTCACATGGCACAGCTGATTGGTTTCTTTCACATCAGCAGCCAATGAGCTTGCTTCTCAACATTCAAATACTTGGCTAATGCCTTCCTGTAGCTGCTGCAGTGCACTTCAGAAACCCTCCACCTTCCCTAGCTCCACCTGTATAGATCTGCAATGGGGTGATTCCATGTATGTTAATGGGGGTAACTTCATGTATGTTATAAGTGCAGCAGCAGTATTTCTTACATGCTCACTGCAGCATCTGTGTGGATGTATTGGCAGTAGCAAGTCTCGGTACTTGCTCTGCGGCAGCAACAGCAGAGTAGCAGATCTATTCCGCCAAGACCAAACACATTAACAGTGCCATGCATATTACCATGCTAAACGCTCAGAGAGTTGTCATGACAGAACTATGGATATGTGCTGTCAGTGAAATGCATGAGTTTGTCATTTAAAAAATATAAGATATTTTGGAAACACTTTAGAATACTGTTCCGTCATTAATGAATAACTACACAGGAACACATGTGTAACACAATATTAGCACTCTAGTAACTACTAGAAACTAACTAACAAGAACTTCTGATTAATTAAATAGTAAGTAATAGTGCTTAATCTAATGTGGTAGTTCACTATTAGTTAATCAGGAGCTACTATTTTTTCCATACCTCCCCAAGAACCAAGAAGAACTACTGAAACAGGTTCATAATTAATATGAATAATGCATAATGCAGCATCTGCGTAGAATCATGCATGATCTTTGGGGTTTTATGGCTTAAGAGACCCTTTTAGCCTTTGACATTTGCATATAAATTACAGTCCTGGTCACAGACTTTATGTTTATATGGGGGCTAAATTGCCAAATGGTTCCTCTCTATCAAGGAAATTCTAACCAGTCCCCCACTATCATCTCCCTATCTGATTTCAAACACTTTCCAAAGAGATGTAAATTACCCCGATGCCAGGCACCGATGGGCCTGGCTGAACAAGCAAACTAACACACACACACACAAACACACACACACACACACGTAAAGACCTTTTACTCTATTATACTCTACAAATATATCTGGTATATTGCATGTGTTGTTTGTACGTTTCCCTATTAGATTAGCTGAGTTACCACTCGTTATTTGTATTAGTTAAAGCCCTAAACACTGATATTCAGGTGTATGGATGTATCTTTGGTTTAATCTATTCTAAATGTTTCTTTCTTGGTATCAATATTATCTGCTCTTGATTCCTCAAACAGTGATGTACTGTATGTGATTGTGAAATGCTTCATACGATTTGTACTATATTTTGGGTTAAATCCGCAGCAATTCCAGACCGGCCATAAAACATGCAAATGGACCATAAAGGGAAACAAAGGAAACTTCTCCCGCTCAAAAATTCATGCCTGGTATTGGCCAGTCCACCCAGAATAGAAACCCTCAAAAGTGATTAGCCCAAAATGATCTCTGCTCAGAAACCCTTTTCGTTTGAGACGACACTTTTCCAAGACTCAAGATTTTCCTCTTGAGTTCTGATCTTCCGGCAGTATTTATCTTCAAGTAACTTCGATTCGCTGTGGACTTTTACTATCTTCAGAAGACCCAGAAGTAAACTTCCAGCTCACTCCTAATGAACTCATCAAAGACCTTCGTTATCTACCGCATCAGGACTCTTGTTCAGCAATCGAAGCCAATTCAAGTAACCGTTTACAATTATTTAGATGCGTGTTTAAGTTTCAGCCCTTTTTAAGGTGATTTTTGATTCTTTGATGATTTTCAAAGGTTGTGGTTAAGTGATGTGAAATACTGCCATTCTTTTACTTTCCTCTCTCTTTTCCTTACTTTGTTTCATTCTGTATATATGTGTTTTGCTTAGTTAGTTATATGTTAGATATAGTTTCATTTATTAAATCCTTTATATTCACGATCGATTGCCTCTGTTTGCTGCTCACAATTCGAAGTCAATGAATGTTTTGAACCCTTGCTACATATGCTAAATTACTGCTAGCACTGCATAAAGTAGGACAGTTATTCTTCCTTGGCCAGGAAAATAATCTTTTGGATCAGTATTCTAAAGTGTATAACACAATAAGTCTATTTACTGAATTAATTGTAATTACTGAAATAATTGTAAGCTTTTGAGGTTTTTGTATGATTCTGGATAGTAATACCTTTAGCTAGATTTGGTAACACTTGAGTCATTACTAGTGGGTTACCGAGATATTCACTTTAGAATACTGATCCAAATAGTAAGTAATTCCTTTAGAAGGATGTAGTAACACTTAAGTCATTACTATCAAAAACCTTATATATATCTCAGCTTACAATTACATCAGTCAATATTAGGGAGTCATCATGCTTTTCACTTTAGAATACTGATCCAAATAATTAGTAGTTCCTTTAGAAGGATTTGGTAATTACTAGTGGGTTACCATGATCTTCACTTCAGAATTAATGAATTGTAGTTACTGATTAGCTAATAGTGAACTACCACTTTCAACTGAGCACTATTACTTACTAAATCACAATCAGAGTTTCTTGTTAGTTAATAGTAGTTACTAGAATGTTATTAGTGCATTAGTTATTTGTTCCTGTGTAGTTATTCATTAACTATTACCGATATTTTAAGTCACATGGCTTGTTGAAGAGAAGCATGCTATTACTTGATGGGACTTTTCAACGAGCAGACTTTAAAATAGACTAAAATACCCCATAGACCAGCAGTGAAAGAGGAACCTGAGGCAGATACTATATGGGATTTGGAAACCTCCTTATGAAGGTGTATGTATTTGTTTATTTAATTTGTAAGTAATTCTGTGTTTTCAATTGCTATCTAGCTCAACTCTGCCCAAATCCAGGAAACTTCTGAAAACTTGGACTGTAAGTGCCAAAGCAACAGCATCTCAGGATATCTACCATACTTCACATCTGAAGGGAGCTTCTCAAGCGGTATGGGATGCAGGAATGGTTTGCTTTGGAAAATGTTACTGCATCTATTCAGTTGTAGACCAGCATGTCAGGTTGTGTTGCAGATCTTCCAAAGGACTGTGGCGAGGTCTTCAGCTGAGGACAGAAATCCAGTGGCCTGTATGCCGTTAAACCTCAAGAGTCACAACCGTTTCTTGTGAATTGTGAATTCACTGGGAGTAAGGATAAGGCATTTTCTTTCTCACATCTCTGATATCTGAAAAGAGCCAGAGGTGATTTCCTTCCAAAGAAAACTGATTCTCATTAAACTTTAAGATAGCAGTTTCTGTCTGGCATTGTCTTCTGTCATCCACAGAGGGAGTGTTAACTGTCATCCAGCGCAGACATGATGGCTCTGTGGACTTTGACCTGTCCTGGGAGAAGTATGAGGATGGATTTGGGGACTTCAGTAGTGAGTTAAATCAAGAATGTTGTGCTCATAAACTGAATATGTTCCGCCTGTGATTATAGAGTGGAGCACAATGGAGTGCTCTGTGATTAGTGTTGAGAAGTCTGAAACTTAACACCCTATTTTTAGTATCACTTTTTACTACATAATTTCACAGTATGTCCAATTTGACCAGCATTCTATGTAAATGTAAATGTAAATGTAAATGTCAATGTCACTTTATTTATAAAGCACTTTATTTAAAACAACAGCTGTTGACCAATGTGCTGTACATAAACATTAAACAATAAATTAAAACATAATAAAACAGAAAAAAAACAAATATATATATATACATGCCAGATATAACATGACGCTATGTCATTTGTTAAAAGTTATTTCAAACAAATAAGACTTGTAAGTAAGTTTTGATTTAAAATTACCTACAGCTCTGGCAGTCCTAATACTATCTGGCAGGCTATTCCACAATTTTGGCGCGGCTACTGCAAATGCCGGTTACCTCTCAGTTTTAGTTTTGTTCTTGGAACCACTCATATTCCCTGATTTGATGATCTCAAGGACTTCCCTGGGTCATATTCGACAAAAGATCAGTAAGGTAAGAAGGTGCCAAGCCGTTTAGAGCTTTATAAACCATTAAAAGGACATTCAAATCAATTCTGTAGCGGACCGGCAACCAGTGTAATGACATTAACGTCGGTGTAATGTGTTCATATTTTTTAACCCCAGTCAGGAGCCTGGATGCTGCATTCTGAACCACTTGAAGTCTCGAAAGTGAGCCTTGCCTTATCCCTATATAAAGTTTGTTAGAATAGTCGAGCCTTGAAGTAATGAGGGTGTGAATAGTCCTCTCAAAATTCTTAAAAGACAGAAAAGACTTCACATTTGTCAGTGCTCTTATATGGAAGAAACTAGATTTGAGCACAGAGCTGACCTGAATGTCGAACTTCAAAGCACTATCCAAATTGACTCCCAGGTTTTTTTACACAGGGTTTTACATATGGAGAGAGAGGGCCAAGCTTAAAATTTGATTTTTTTTTATTCAGTGTGCCCAAATATGATAATTTCTGTCTTATTTTCATTTAAATGTAGAAAATGTACAGTCATCCAGGCCTTTAAATCTTTAAGGCAGGATAGTAGAGAGTCTAAACAGTGTTTATCTTGTTTTAAGGGAAGATACATTTGAGTGTCGTCTGTGTTGCAGTGAAAGGAAAAGTCATATTTCTTAAAAATGGAACCTAATGGCAGCATATAGATGGAGAATAACATTGGAGCCAAGATGGAACCCTGGGGGATTCCACTCGTAAGTGGGGCTGTACTAGATACAAAGTCCCCAATATTTACTGAGAAAGTTCTATTTTCAAGAAAGGACTGAAACCAATTTAGAGCTTTCCCTTTGATGCCTGCGCATTTCTCTAAACGGGACAACAGGGCAGTATGGTTGACTGTGTCAAAGGCAGCACTTAAACCCAAGAGCACAAGCACGACAGAGCTACCAGTATCCACAGTTCTCAGTACATCATTTATCACTTTAACAAGTGCTGTTTCTGTAGAATGATATTTTCTAAATCCAGATTGAAAGACTTCAAAATTCTTGTTTTCTTCCAGGAAGTTGTACAGTTGCTGAAAGACTGCCTTCTCTAATATTTTAGAGATAAATGACAGTTTAGAAACCGGTCTAAAATCTGATAAAATTGTAGGGTCTAAATTTGGCCGTTTGAGGAGGGGTTGGACAGAGGAATGTTTCAAATAATCAGGTACAGTTGCTGTACAGGTACATTTATTTATAAATGCTAAAAGATTGGGCCCTATCGAATTTAAAACATGTTTAACAAGGCGAGGAGGAATTACATCAAGTGAGGAACCAGTGGGTTTCAGCTTATTTACAATTTCCTGCAACGAAGAGAGCATACCTGTCAACCCTCCCGTTTTTACCATTCTATCCCGCTTTCATCCCATTTAAATATTTCCCCGTCATCTTTCTATAGAAAATAAAAACATCCCACTGGGCATAGCCTATTTTACATGTTTGCTACATTCACTTCCTGTAAAACTCCCATAATTTGTTTGGGCCAACTTCAATATATGAATAATCACGACAACAAATTCCAGGGTTGTCCAGTTGCCAGATCTTGTATGAAAAGCATTTCTCACACGATCCACGCATACAAATTTTAACCCATTTGTCCCCTCAACTTGGCAACCTACAGCCCAGTGATGCTATTGATATGTGTGCAGGTAGTAGGCTACCGCAGGAAGGAAACAATGATGACTGTTAGAAATGGGAGGAGAAGACTCAGGTGGTGCTCCAGTGAAAAAAACTAAATATGTAAATGTATATTTACATCACATGTATAATGATATATAGCTTACACTTCAAAAGGCTATTTAATTGACTAAATATGAGCACTGCAAGTTTTGATATTTAAAACCTTCAAGAGAGCCACTTCATATAACATATTGGTGCAAGCAGTGTTAAACGCAGCATTCAGCTCATCCAACCCCAATCAAACACACCTGAACAAGCTAATCAAGGCATTCCAGATTACTAGAAAACTACAGGCAGGTGAATTTGATCAGGGTTGGAATTTACCTGATTTCCTTGGATCTTTAAAACCCCATTTTACAGAGGTTGATATTGCAGCAACACGTATTTGTTTTAGTTTTGTGCACGTCGCTGTCTGCGCCTCCAGGCGCACCAATTCAGCACATTTTCCAGCAGAGATCGTTGTGACCAAATAAAACGCTTTTTATTTGGGCCTGTTTGTGTTCTGCCTGTTTTCAGTGAGTTTCAGTTAATAATGGATGCTAAGGGTCCCAAATCTCACTCTCTCACTCACACAATAACACATTGCATTTAATTGACTTTGCCTTCTGTTCTCGTTTAAGGTAGGTTTGAATGCATCCCTTTGGATAGTTTTAAGCACAGGATGGCTTTACAAAATAAAGAGGAATAGTACTTAAAATTCACTCTGTAGGTAAAACTGGCTATTCATGCTTTTAGTTTTTCATATTGTATATTGAAGTGGCATACTGTCTATATGCACAAACTAAAGCTGACTATCTGTGTCCACGCAGTGAAGCCGGGTCAATGTCCCATACCGGAGATGATTCCACACTGTGCTAAAAGCTGTTTCCATGATGGCCAGTGTCCCGCCACACAGAAATGTTGCCCAACCACCGCTGGCTTTGCATGCAGTGAACCACAGGGCCAGGGCAGCGGCCAGGGCCAGGGGAGCAGCCATGGCCAGGGGAGCGGTTATGGTCAGGGAAGCGGTTATGGCCAGGGAAGCGGCCAGGGTCAAGGAAGCGGTTATGGCCAGGGAAGCGGTTATGGCCAGGGGAGCGGCCAGGGGAGTGGCCAGGGAAACGGCCATGGCCAGGGGAGCGGCCAGGGAAGCGGCCATGGCCAGGGGAGCAGCCAGGGGAGCAGTTATGGCCAGGGGAGTGGCCAAGGGAGCGGTTATGGTCAGGGTAGCGGCCAGGGTCAGGGAAGCGGCCAGGGTAGAGGCCAGGGTCAAGGAAGTGGTTATGGCCAGGGAAGCGGCCAGGGTCAGGGTAGCGGCCAGGGAAGTGGTTATGGCTAGGGTAGCGGCCAGGGAAGTGGTTATGGCCAGGGTAGCGGCCAGGGAAGCGGTTATGGCCAGGGTAGCGGCCAGGGTCAGGGAAGCGGTCAGGGTAGCGGCCAGGGTCACGAAAGGGATCAAGGGAATGGTCAGGGATGTGGTCATTGACAGGGTCATGGGAATTTTGCATAACATTTACTGGAGATCTTTTCAATTCAGTGCCTTATTCATATGGGATGTTTTCCCTGTATGCTCAAAACAGTTTAGAAAGATTTTCTGTTTCTCTCTCCTTCCTTCCTCCTCCTCAAATAAAAATTGGTTGATTGAAGAGTGGTTGTTGTTGTATCATTTGGCGGTTTTCTCACAACTGCTTTCTGGCATCAGTGCTTTAATGCCGAGTTCACACTGTACAGTTTTAGCCCGATTTTTCACTCGCTGGTGATTCACAATCATGCTGTGTGAAATGAGTTCTGACTGAAGAGACCAATTTATATGACAGATTTTAATGTAGGTTCCCTGTATGCTCAAAACATTGTGAGATAGCTAGTTACAGTATAATGGTGATTAAACAAATCACCTTATAGACTCAAGAATACATCCATTTCAGATTTTCTGTTTCTCTCTCCTTCCTTCCTCCTCCTCAAATAAAAATTGGTTGATTGAAGAGTGGTTGTTGTTGTATCATTTGGCGGTTTTCTCACAACTGCTTTCTGGCATCAGTGCTTTAATGCCGAGTTCACACTGTACAGTTTTAGCCCGATTTTTCACTCGCTGGTGATTCACAATCATGCTGTGTGAAATGAGTTCTGACTGAAAACTACATCGGTGATAACCTACAGCCAATGGGAGACCAACATACAGGGTAGAGGGAAGTTCTAGTGTTGTTTTTGGCGGCCTGTTTTAATTTTAGTTTTAGTCTAGTCTTTGTGTGAAGCTGTCATTTTAGTTTTTATTGTTATGTTTTAGTCACGTTCATACTCTTAGAAAGACATAGAGACATTTTAGCATAGTTTTTATTTTGTAAACCACATTTAGTCTCATTTTTATTCGTCAACAATATTGCATTATACATTTAATTATAGTCATCGTCACATGACCAGCATTTTCGTTGCGTCTCGTCTCGTTTTCATCACGTAATAAAGGTTCATTGACGACGATATTTAGTCATAATTTTCGTTGACGAAAGCAACACTAGTGTGTACTGGGCTACTTTTTAGTTACAGCAGCTATCACTGAGTTATGAAGTCAGTTGTGCCAGACAATTTTGGAGGCAGAGACAGATTGTGGGGGGCACTAATAGGGAAAAACTTAAACTGTTGGAATAAAGAGTTTTAAAGGGTTAGTCATGGAAAGTTTGCAGGTTAATGGGCATCAATGTTTAAGGTAGGTAAACACTTGTACACGGACACATATAATACTACCCGCCTGACATTGGCATGTGTTATTCAGGTGTCAAAGTTGTGCAGAGTTGAAGGAAGAAACCTCAAAGAGAGTGCCAGAAGGATGCTGGACAGGTAAAGACTACAAATCTTGCCACATTAATCAAACATTGTGGTGCCAATACTCAAGTTACAACGCAAATCAGAAATTTAAAGAATTCCTTTACTGGTCATTTTGAAATGTCAAACTTGGTCTGCAATTGTTAACCACCTCAATCTGTATTATATTTTATGGTTTTAAAAAAATTCCCTCTTGTCCAAATTCAACATGAAGAGGGGTGGTCCGCTGCAGAAAGAGGCATTTGAAAAGACTGCACTGTTCTCGGTCATTTATATCTCTTTTTTGTTTTTAGTAGGCATCCAAGCAAAAGAGAATGACTCCCTGTCACAATTAGTGTAAAGTAAAAAAATTATATATTTTTTTCTTATTTGGCAGATGCTGTGATGACCAACTTCCCAGCAGCAACAGGACTTGTGGAATGCAATTGGGAAGCATTTTAAACAAGAAATAAAACCAATAATTAATAATTTCCTTTAAGTTCACTGTTGGTTGTTTTATTTGTTAAAATAAGTAAACCAACAAAAGGGTTAATCTTTTTTATGTTGTCATTTATCCGTAATGTTTTAATGTTTAGTGTGATAACATGCTCTTGATTTGTATTAGATTTTTTTCTTTTAAATATCTTAAGTTATTTAAAATATATATATATTTTTTTTTTATTATCTTAAGTTGTTAAAAATTCCAGATTTTTTAAAATCATATTTATATTTAAGTGCATTGTATTTATACAATTTCATTTTGTCATTAATTCTTTTGTATTTTAATCATTTTGTATTGTCTTAAGTTGTCAAAAATGTTATTTTTCTTAATAAAAGCTGTATATTTAATTTGTTTGGATGGATTGCCATTTTGTTGTCTATTAGACGTATATATGTAGTCGTTTAATAGCGGTCTAATTGATGACTAGTCTATTCTTGGGCTATGATTAGACGTCTATTAAATTTTCACTGACAGCCCAAATTTAGCCTTGTTTTAGCCTAGACATCTGGGCTGTGTTTAGACAGCTAATAGACGTCTTTTAAATGCAAAATTGCTTTCTGGGTCTTTGCAGAACACCCAATCCCTGTTCCCCGCACCTCCCTCCTCCTCTAGCTTCGATATTTGACCACTGTTTTCATAAAACATCGTTGCAGCGACAGTAATTTGGTAATTTATGTCAGGAGTGAAATAATAAATCTGTATGTGTCATTTTTAGAATAGAAATTCACCGCGCATTCATATTCAGTCACGTCTGCAGCGGTTTATTTGTGTTCACATAGATTCACTGAACAGGGTTAAAAAGGGCTTATAGTCCAAAGATGCATATGCATGGAGATATATAGATACATTTACTCATGTTTACTTCATATTTCTTCAGACAGAATCATCATTTCTATTCATTTTCCACTGATTTACGCAATCTGATAATAATTAGCCGCTCCCTGGGCTGTCTCTGTGTGTTTACTCTTCCGTGCTCGTGCTGTGACTCAGTGAAATCTGATTCTCCTTCATCTTGTCAATCTTTTGCATCTCATAACAAGCCATGTCTCATCCTGTTACGAGCTTCCTTCACTCTTCCACGTTGATATCTGGCCAGGGTTAGGGTAGCGGCCAGGGAAGCGGCCAGGGTCAGGGTAGCGGCCAGGGTCAGGGTAGCGGCCAGGGTCAGGGAAGCGGCCAGGATCAGGGTAGCGGCAAGGGAAGCGGTTATGGCCAGGGAAGCGGCCATGGCCAGGGTAGTGGCCAGGGAAGTGGCCATGGCCAGGGTAGCGGCCAGGGAAGCGGTTATGGGCAGGGAAGCGGCCATGGTCAGGGTAGCTGCCAGGGAAGCGGCCATGGCCAGGGTAGCGGCCAGGGAAGCGGCCAGGGTCAGGGTAGCGGCCAGGGTCAGGGAAGCGGCCAGGATCAGGGTAGCGGCAAGGGAAGCGGTTATGGCCAGGGAAGCGGCCATGGCCAGGGTAGCAGTCAGGAAAGCGGCCATGGCCAGGGAAGCGGTCAGGGAAACGGCCATAGCCAGGGTAGCGGCCAGGGAAGCGGCCATGGAAGTGGCCATGGCCAGGGAAGCGGCTGCGACCAGGGAAGCGGCCATGGCCAGGGTAGCGGTCAGGGTCAGGGTAGCGGCCAGGGTCAGGGAAGCGGCCAGGGTCAGGGTAGCGGCCAGGGAAGCAGCCATGGCCAGGGAAGCGGTTATGGCCAGGGAAGCGGTCAGGGAAGCGGCCATGGCCAGGGTAGCGGCCAGGGAAGCAGCCATAGCCAGGGAAGCGGCCATAGCCAGGGTAGCAGTCAGGGAAGCGGCCATGGCCAGGGAAGCGGCAAGGGAAGCGGCCAGGGCCAGGGTTGCGGCCAGGGAAGCGGCCATGGCCAGGGTAGCGGCCAGAGAACCGGTCAGGGAAGCGGCCATGGCCAGGGTAGTGGCCAGGGTAGCGGCCAGGGTAGCAGCCAGGGAAGAGGCCATGGCCAGTGTAGCGGCCAGGGAAGCGGCCAGCGTCAGGGTAGCGGCCATGGAAGCGGCCATGGCCAGGGAAGTGGCCAGGGTCAGGGTAGCGGCCAGGGTCAGGGTAGCGGCCAGGGT